GAACGCTCCAGAAGGCTGCAGCTGCCCAGGACTGTATCTCGTACCTTCTAGCCGCAGGCTCCAATGCAGCAATAGAGACCCTCCACCGAACAGCTTGGCAGCCACTGAGGACTGCTACAGGAATGAGCAAAATCTCAGTGCCCTCAGTGGGAGTCTTCCATTGACTTCAGTGGACTTTACATTAGGTCCTTGGTTCAGGCCTTTATAGAGGGGGAAGATACAGGGCCACCTAGAATTGTCAGCTAGAGGCACCCCCATCCCTTTTGAACCCACACACCCTGAATAATGGTTATGAGGATATTGTGACACAATGGGAGGCCACCCTCTAACCAGAGTGGGCTGCATTTCGGTGGAGCTGATGGACATAAGTTGTGTGGGATCCAAAATGGGTGGCACCTTGGAAAGGTGGTCCATTAAATGGCATGTATCATGGAAGTGGAAAACGGGAAATTAGGCACATTTCCATAACAATCTTATAGGGAGCATAAGAAATCCCGGGAACTTCTCTTGTTTGGCTGCAGCTAAACAGTCTGGAAGCTGAAAAAGGTTAAATGCTTTTATTTGAGTAGTGTCAGATGGCTTTACAAATAGATTTTAAAATTTTGAACTATCCAGAGAGGAATCGTTACAAACAAAAACAAAAATACCCCCAATAAAAGGGACTAGGCAAATAAAATTAAAACTTTAGCTCCATTTTAAAAACACATCTCAACAAACATTCTCCTCCCACACCAATAAAATGTACATCTCATCTCAAACAACAAATGATAATCCTGACAAAAATAAACTAAAAATAAAAAAGGTTAAAAAATGAAAAAATTATTCTGTTTAGGTTGGGTTTCATTCTAAATATGTTAACCTAAAATTTGTGTGTGTGTGTATATATATATATATATATCTTTTTAAAACATACGCTCAAAAATCTTGCATGGCAGTGCATAACAGAAAAAAGTAAAATTCATCCTGAAGGTGCTATGTACAGCAGCATGGTTAAAATCTCACCTAAAAGGGTCAATTCTCTTTTCAAAGGAATAGTAGCATTAATTTTAACTATTGCAGAGCTAAACAAAGTCAATAGAAGACATTTCCTGTCTGTTTTCGAGCACCTTCCTTCTCCCCCAAAATTAGGGTTCTGAAACAATAACTTGACACAGTTTGTATATATAGACAGACTGGGTTAAAAGCACTGCTTCTAAACATGGAGAGATTTCTCTTCCTCAGCTTAAAAGAATGAGGCATTGGGGACTTTCATTGGAACATACAAGACCAGGCTGGGCGGTGGACTCTGCTGGCTGGATTATTAACACAGAAAAACAGCTATACTATGGTTTTGACTATCTCAGACTGCCTCAGCCTCTTCAGAAAAACAGCTGGGGGCCAGATTTTAAAGCCAGGCCTCCCTTTATGGACCTGCATTTGCGGGAGCAAGTAGCTGTGGGCACCACTAGTGTCACACAGAGGTTTACCTGGCAGGCGGAAGCAACGTGGCTTGAGTGCACGGACAACTGAAGGAGCAAATTGGTGGTCAGATAGAAAAAAAGGCCAGAGTAGAGGCTGCCAAAACAAAACAAGCCACCCCCCAAAAACCCCAGGCCCTTAAAACTGTAACCGTATCTGCAAACTGCTGACTCCACTGGGCCTGCCCTAATTTTGGATGTCCAATACGCTGTCATCCATCTCTTCACAGCCAATCTCTTTGGTTGCTTTATCTTCAAGGGGGGCGAAGAAATGTTATCATGCGTGTGGACATTTCACACCTCTCGGGTTTCCAAGTTTTGCTCAGACTGGAATGTAAATATCGACCTTGTTCAGTGTTTCCCAGCATTAGAGTTTCAGCATGAAGAAGACCTCAGTGTCCTGGTTAAAATCCGTTTGGTTCTTTAGCTGGGGTGTCAGCAGACGGGGGGCAGCTGAATCCGTACAAACTCCTTTTGCAATGCAGCAGGCTCCCTCGGGGATCCCCCTCTCCTCAATGGGGCTCCCATTGATCTGGCCCAGGCTCTGCAGCCGTTGCCTCTCCTGGGCTTGCTTGGCTCGATTGGCAACGTACCGCACCCTGCTCTGGCTGCGAGAGGACGACCTGCGGAGGAGCAAGCCCTCCTCTTCCTCCTCGGATTCAACTGGCTCGAGGCTAGTTGGGGAGGTGATGTCGTTTTCCTCCTGAAAGGTTGTCAGCTTCTTCAGCTGCTCGGTCAGTTGGTCCTGCGGCTTGGCCGAGGACCTTATACCTGAGGAGCGGCGCTGCTCTCGCATCGACTTAGTGACGAAGCTCCTGCTGATGCTCCGGTACTTGCTTTCAAAAGTGCACGCAATGTCATCGGAGGTAAGATCCCCAAGGCTTTTGGATTTTGCCTGGCTGGTCCCTGCTTTATCCTGGGCTTTGGACTTGACAGAAGACTGTTTGAGACTTTCCATGTAGAGCCTGCTCCAGGTATGCCTCCTTGGGATGGAGGCTAATGCATCTTGAGGAACCCTGGCCAGAGGCCTGGCATGCAGCTCATCAACGGACGTCTGGCTGGCCCGCAGGTTGGGATTGGATTTGCTCTTGGTCACTATTGGCATTTCATTACCAGATGTCGTAGCAGACCGGGGGCGCATGCCCTTTCTCACAGCAACGGTCTCAATGTTTTCGTGATGGGTACCTAGGTCTGGAAGGCTTTTGCGAGCTAGGTTGGGCAGAGAGAGGTCTATCACAGTGTCGTTGGATGACATGCTGGAGGAGGAAGACATACTGTCCCGGTGACTGCTGGAATCTAGCTTGTTCCAGATCTGGTCATGAACAGTGGCATCAGAGTACACTTCTGCTGCCGGGGACAGGCTACTTGGATTTTTCATTAAGGCTGAGTAGTCAGAACTCTTGTGCCCTTCGTTCTTCGACCTCCTCACTAATACGTGAGAGCTGGTCAGAGAAACAGAAGCAGTCGGAGCCCAGGCAGGCTGGAGTCTCTGGAAAGCATCTAGAGGCAAAGTCGGCTGGGTGCTGTTATTGAGGTGGCTTGGTCGTGGTGGGCTGGTTGTGGCACCATCCTTCTGGCTTATGGATACGGCAGTGCAGTTCACATCTGGTAACCTTTGATATACACGGTCTTGTTGCTTCTGGCAGCTTTCAGTGGAATGGACTGAAGTATCACTCGGTGCCAACATCCCCCAGGTTCGTTGAGGATACACTGCCAAACCAGACTGATCTTCACCACTACCATGGGTTTTTTCCCAGTCACCCCCATCTTCGAGTGGTCCCTTTGTGCTTCTACTTTTACCTTCCTGGCCCAACGTGCTTGTGGCTGCTGTCCCTGGAGTTACGAGCACTTGGTCTTTTGAAGCCAAGCCTGCCTGTGGTTCATGAGCAAGAGCAGCTTTCTCAGGCTGGTCTGTTGGGCTACTTCCTGCCGATCTAGATTCACTGGAATGATGAGACACAGACCCTTGTTCAGAATCGCTGCTGGGGTTAACAGGCAGAGGAATACAAGAACCAGCATGTTGTTTTTCATTGGCAACGATGGGTTCTTCGGTCATAGTTTCTAGGCTGCATAAAGAAGTGACTGACCTCTGCCTTGAGAGCTGGCAGACGCCTAATGGGAGGGAGAGAAAAAAAATACATGGGCAATGTAAAGGTTAATCAAACTATCAACAATGCTGATTCACTTACAGATGCATATTTTACTCAATATCCCTTTGCTATGAAAACTGTCATTTGTCAGAAATGTTGGCCAGGATTTTCAAAAGTAACTCGTCGTGATGTTGGGTACCCAGCTGAAGACATGCAATCTTCAGAAAGCGATGAGCATCAATGAGACACACAAAAATAACTAGTCACTTCTGACCATATCTGTAGCATGTTACTTCACTGATTATACATATCCAAAGAAGCAAAACAACCCTGACCCCATCCCCCATCTGTTTGAACTGTTCTATCCTTCAGCAGCACTGAGAACGGCCAGCATGAGACAAAAGTCAGAAGATCGCTGCTTGACCAGCTGGTGACGTGTTTGGCATCCATCGTAGTTCAAGAGGAAGGTGGTGCAGGGGCAGTGGAAGAGATGAAAACCCAAGTGATTTTTAAAAAATCCTTTTCAGCTTTTTGCCCATTTTGTTACTTATCAGCAAGCACCACCTTATTTTGACAAATGAATTTGTCATTTATTTTTCAAAGACCACACACGAAGGCATGCCGATGAAAACAAAGCTGACAGTCCACTCTTGAGAAGTCACTGGAGTAGCCAGTTGCCTGAACAAAACAGATGCTCAGGTTATATTCTTTATCCTGTATATCCTGACATACAAAACAATCATGCCAAAAAAAAACCAAACACACAAACAAAAGGCTGCCCGCTGACCAAAATGCCAACATGCTCCAAGAACTAGCAAAGCAGCAGAAAGAAGCCAGGCAGCAGGTTTAGGAGTACAAGGAGGAGGTAGTTATAAGATGCCTGGAAACTAAAAAGGAACCCGGGCAACACAATGCTTGCATCAGTGACACTCAATAAACAGTTACCTTGAACTTGCTTGTCCTTTCAGTTCTTAACTACAGAGAGAGAGTGTGCACGTGGAGGAGGATAGAACAGAGGAAAAAATCCAGTTAATTTACGGAAGGCAGGAGCAGATAAAAGGATCGATTAGTGGGGAGCGAGAGGGAAATAGACACAGATAGTAATACATTTCTTGTAGGATCCTAAGAATTTTTGACCAACCAGAGCACACAATGGATTGCATAAATTGGACCCAGACCAAAGGTTTTTGTTTTAAAAAGAAGTTGGAAAATTTGTAACTGTTCAAGGAAGTTTTGGAAACATGTAACCTGAGTCTGAAACCACCTCTGATTTTTGCCTTACTTGACATTCTGGAGTTGCTATAAAAGAAGCACTAACTGGGCACAAATGAGCTTTCCAGCAGATGCTAGTTATCTTGGGGCGAGCAGAACATGACTTCAGCATAAAGCTGCATTACATATCACACAAGCAGGGCATGCATGCAGCAAGGTAAATCAACAATAAGTGTAGACATATCTGACAGGTTCAGGGGCAGGTTCCTGCTGTCATCTGGATGTTGTCCATTCATCCATCTCCAGCCATAGTTCCTCGCTGACTGGGGTCAATCATGGGACCAGTCTAGTGGTCTAGCTGCATGAAAGCAGATGCCCTGCCAAGAGTCAACCTTGCTGGTTTCTAGGAGGACTGGTAAGTAGCTTCAACTTTCTCCCCTCTCCAGCCCTTTTCCTCCCAGGTAGAAGAAAAAGTCCCAAAGACCCAAATCTGCTCAACTGAAATCAATGGCAAAGCTTCCATTTATGTCAGCGTTCCTGGATCAGGCCCAAATCAGTATGTTTCCTAGACTGCTTGGGGCAGGCAAGGACCCATGGGGCTTTCATAGCCCCTAGACTGTGTTAGTGGCTGCATACCAACTCCATGCCAAGCCAGCAGGCTGGAGGAAGGAAAGACTTCTCCCCCTCTGCACATCCCTTTCATAGATCCCCTGCACATGAACCATTGACTCTGGCACTGCCCAGTGCGGGGGCTGAGCATACTAAGCTTGGACTTCATCCTAGCTCAGTGACTGGAAGCATCAGATGGCTGTTCAGTGGCCTATATACCACTAGTCGGGGAGGGTGTCTCAGTCTAATATCTATAAGGCAAGTACCCACGTGAAAAAATTCCCTACCAGTGGTGCTGATCAATACCACTGTGGGCGCTCAGAAGTGCCGAGGGCTGAATGTTCACTGTCCCGTTAGCATGGCAAAAGAACCAAGGCTCACACTGCTGCTGCCAGAGCTCTCCCTATTCTGTGGCCAAGCAGGGGCCTTCAGTTTCCTGTCCCATCCTTCTGGCATCTTTCACCAACACAACGTTTATTTCTGAAGTGTCGTTAGATTAGCCTATCTGTATTGGCTCCTTGGGGGTCTTTGCACAGTGCACTGAAATAGTACGTGGACGGAGAATGCTTGCAGTTTATGCAACCCTAATATTTGGTCACTAGCTCATCAACATCCAATCCAAATGCCTCTTTCATCCTTTTAAAGGTTTGTGATTCTACACTTGAGAAGTCGGGTGGATTTAATCAAATTTCGAGCCTATCTTAATATTTCTGCAGTGACTTAGGAGGCTGGGGTGGGGCTCCCGCCCGCTGGCACAGACAATGGTAAATGGTTCCATATGTTGCATCTCTTGGAGCTTATGAACAATCCAGATACACAAAGGGTTCCGCAGTTTTGATTTAATTTCATGCTATGCGACTTGGCGATAAAACATAATCCAGATGTTCAGAGCAGATCATTTAAAGCAAAATTAAAAATTGAAATTAAAAAAGATATAAGGAGCAGCCTAATCCATGGAAGGCAAATCTGTCTTGGCTTCCCCTCTAGAAGCTCTTTAGGCTTTGGTTGGGGCTCTCAAAGGAGCCTGAAATAAACTGCAGTGAAATTTAATGGGAGTTGGCAATAATCTTTTTAAAAGCACCTAAGTTACTTAAGTGTTTCTGAAATTTCACCCTGGATGTCTAACTCCCTTAGCTGCTTTAGAAATCCCAGACATACAACCTTAAGATGGCAGATGGCAAAGACAGGGAACAGTATTGTTTGAAAAAAAAATCTTTCAGTTTTAATAATCTACAATCTCATTAGCAAGACTTTTTTTTAAAGAAATAGAATAATTTTTAATCTAGATAGTGTCCTTTAAGAGAATTAAAGAGGACATCCATGGTAGGCTCCCACCTTGCAGACACACAAATGCTTCACTTTAAAGCATGTTTGTAAGTTGCACTGAAATCACATGCTTAAAGTTCAGCAGGTACTTAAGTGTTTGCATTGTCATGGGGTTTATAAATTCATAGGGTTTAAGACCAGAAAGGACTATTATGTTCATCTAGTCTGACCTAATGCGTAGCCCAGGCCAGAGAACCTCACCCAGTAATCCTGCATTGAGCCCATAAATAGTAGCTGAAATAGAGAATATCTAGATTGTAAGTTCCTTGGGGCTGGGACTGTCTTTAATTGTGTGTTTGTACAGTGCTTAGCACAACTAAGTCCCTATCCTGCTCTGGCTTGTGCACTCTACTGCAATACAGATAATAACGATAATGAGGATGACAATCAGGATGGACAGCAGTGTTCCTTTTCCAATTCAATCTCTAAGCAATGCTCTGGTTGGGAGTTTCAAAATTTACTTAGTATCATACTTTATTCATGATTAAAATCTCCACTCCACATTCATGGACGACAGATGGATGTGCTACTGAAGATGGTTTGCTAGGTATGGAAAGGACCAGTCTAGATCAGATACAACTAGGGAACAAAACAAAGCATATTTATGCAGAAATGTTTTTCTTTCACTGAAAAAAACAAAATGAGCTATGATGGCAAAATAAAAATCTGGGAGCTTCTAAGGGGAGGAGCTATGAGGAAGCCAAGGCAATGAGGTGATCTAAGGCAAATGGGGTGAAAAAAATCTGGTCTTACCAGTAAAGAATATAGGGGATTTACTTCGAATTTCCTCCAATTTTTGAATGAACAAGGCATTCATTTCCCTCTGAAGGGTGCCCACTTGCCTTCGGGAATTCTCAGACAAGCGCTTGGGGAATTCTGGGCTTCCAAGACTCTCTAGACTGCTTGAGTTGGAGGATATTGAGCCATTGCTGGCTGTCACCAAGTTGACAGTGCTTCCATACTTGCCACCTGATTGGCACGGCCACCTCTGCCGGGGATGACCTTTCATCCCGTGACATTTAGTTTCACCATTTTTCTTCCCTGGAGTCACAAAGGACTGAGTGCTCCTTGGTTGATCACTGGCCGTTCCGAGGCTGCTGCAAGTCTGCAAATCTGACCGAGGCCTGGGTTGCTCTGTTATACCCCAATTTTTTAGTTCTAACCTCTCGTCTCCCGTTATACTGCTATACTGATCATGGTGCAGCATATCTTTAGCAATTAGCCTGGTAGCATGGTCACTCCACTTGCATTCTAGATCGGGGCTCTCCTTGGAACCAATCATGCATTTCATGCAATTGGTTGCCACTCCGATCCTACCAGAGCCATTGATGGCGCAGCGTGCAAAGACGCTCTGTTTCTCCTGCTGGTGCTCCTGAAGACGGACCCTGTTGGACCTCCGTGTAGGCTCACTGAAAGTTGCACCCCCATGAGTACGAGTTTGGCCTTTACCTTTACCAGAACTATGGGCCTTACCTTTCAACCCTTTGCCATGTACCTCTCCGTTGGCCCCCTCTCTGGGAGCCAGCGATGGAGAGGAGCTTTCTGGCTCTTTGTCAAAGCGAGGCTGCGAAGAATCTTCCAGTTCGTGGTCTTCACTGGCCCCTTCAGAGCTGTTGTCTTTGGTGTCGATAACAATCTCGGGAAAGCCTTTCTTGTTCTTCTTCTGACTCTTGGTAGGGGCGCTGGCCGTCCGCCGTAAAATGTGGCTGCTAAAGGAGTGTTTGCGATGGAGCTGACCAGCAGCATGACTGTCTAGCGAGGCCTGTTTTGGATTTCTGAGAAATAGACCTTTTAAGCCCAGAGCTTGCTTGACCTGGAAAATAAAAGAAACCCCCGTAATAGAAGATGTGCATGTCTGCCCTGGCACACAAGTACTTGAGGTGCAGTAAAGTGCAAAGGAGTGTTCCCCCTCCCCAATTCCTGTGAAATTGTCACTGCCCAGCACCGGAACTGGTTGGAAAATGACGGGGATGGAGAAGGCAAATTGGTTTGCAGAATTTCATCGCTGTTTTTCATTGAAATGTTGTTTTAATTTTTCCAACCAGCTTTATTCCTGTATTAATGACCCTTCCTTTAGCTTTATTCTTGTATTAATAATCCTTGTATTAGTACTACACATCTCCTTACAAGGAAATCCACAGGGGCAAGATACTGGAGAGAAAAACTCTAAATAAGGACCTGAATTCTGAAAGGTGCAGAGTGCCCCAATGCCTGCTGAAAGCAGCAAGCTTTGGGGTACTCATAAATTTACAGCCTTGGGGCTCCCAACGATGAATTTCAAGGAACTTTTTCAAAATACTAGTTATTGTTTTGCTATCTCCATGGCACAGCTGGTGGGTCAGCCCTCCAATGTGCCCGCAAGTGTGAATGATTCACACCCACAGGCTCACTATGAGGATGCAGAGCAGAACTTGGGGGTGAGGGGAGAAGAAGCAATCAACTCTTCAGTGGAATCCAGGGTAAGTAGAGACTTACAAATTTGTTGCAAAGTTAGTGCTTTCCCTTAACAAAATAAAACTGCTTAAAATAGTTAATTTATATTTAATTTTAACAAACACTGAAAGTGTTTTAATGTTTAAAAAAATACTTTAAACAGTAGTAACCCTAAATGTAAAAAACATATTAAGAATGTACATTACAGCAACTTTGAATGTCTCTGGTTACCCAGATCAGCCAGTGTCTTGAGTCCCACAATGATGGCACTCAACAAACGGACAACATTACACCTGTAATGTTCTCAGCAACTTCTTAGCCGAGCGACAGTTATGACATTAGGGTCTGATCCAACTCTATTTCAGTCCACAGGGTTCTTCCACTGACCTCAATGGGAATTGGACGAGCACCTTAAAAAATAATATTAGGTATTGTGAGTTACTTCCTAGCTAGAACTCTTTCACCTGACATTGCTGTATCTATCTAAGGCAGGCCGTTAACCCCTCCCTGGTTCTCCAATGCAAAGCTTCCTAGAAATGGTGCAGGGTACCATTCAACAAGATAAAGACGTCAGCTGTGCATGTCCAGGGAACAGCTTCCCGCTTTCACTGCAGTGGTTTACGTAGCTGGCTTATCCAAGCACCACGTTCATTCCCCCTCCAGCCAGGCCAAACACCTGTAACTGGCTCTGCTACAGGACAGAAGGAAGGGGAAATAGCCAATGGAAAGAGTCCCTAGGGGCTGCCCGTGCTGATTTGTGAGCCTACACACTGTGCTGCACTTTTTAAAATCAGAGGCTCCCTCGACATCTCAGTGGACCTTTCTCTAACCCACTGGTGTTGGCAGAGCCCTCGCCTCACTAAGCCAGTGACGACAGCATGGATTTAGCCAGCCTGAGTGACTGTCCCAAGCCTCTTTCCTTTCACCCTCATCCTGGGCCACCTTTTCCTTGGCTATGGACCAAGGCCATTCCTGTTGTGCCAGCTGCCACCAGGAAAGGCAGAAAGTCTCAGAGGAGAGCTGTGTGTCACCCTGCAGAGCAGTACTGCATACCGTGGCACAGGGCTTCCCCTTGGCCCGACCATAATACAAATAAAACTAATAATATATATTGCAAACAAACAATTATTTTAAAAGAGTCACTTCATTTAGGCTAGGCCAGTCTGGAAGAAAAACCCAATAAAGGTTTTTTTTAAAAAGTCAATTAAAAATTATGTTTTTGCAATTCAATAAGTCACCTGTAATACTGGAAACCCAGACACAACAGCACTGGGCTACTGCATGAGTACCCGGCAGAAAAAGTGAGTAGAAATATGGGGCTGAATCTCCACGGCCTTTCATCTTGTGCTGTCAGTTAACAACTGTGCAGAGTGGGTGTCAAATGCTTCCAATCAGAATTCTCCCCTCTCTAAGGCCTTGTCTACACTGCCACTTACAGCGCTGCAACTTTCTTCACTCAGGGGTCTGAAAAAACACACCCCCCCAGTGATGAGAGTTTCAGCGCTGTAAAATGTCAGTGTTGACAGTGCACCCGCGCTGGGAGCTACTCCCCTCGCAGAGGTGATTTTATTACAGCGCTGGGAGACCTCTCTCCCAGGGCTGGAGCCACATCTACATAGCCACGTCGTAGACATACCCTAACACTTTGCATAGGAGTAACTGAGCACATGGTGTGCAAGGCAGGAGAGAGTCAGGGTCCAAAGCAGAACAGAGAGGTCCAGAATGATTGACACACAACAGCTGAAAACACAAAACAACAGAAATGGGGTCAAGCTAAAAATGTATTTTTAAAAATCATTCCATTTTTAATCAGCCAATGCCTTCTTAGTAACATGGGTGCGGTTTCAATTTTTAAGCTGACAGTTTAATCAGACAATGCCCCTTCAATTAAAAAAATCCCACATGCCTCATCAAAAACAAAAATAACCCTGTCATTCAAACTGATCTTTACATTTTTTTAGTAACTGTAGGGAAGTCTAAAACAGCTATAAAATGCCACATTCTGTTCTATAGCAAACAGAAGACTATCATGGGTGCCATAATAATAGCATACAGGAGACCATATATCCAGGCTCCAGCACCAGAAATGTTTCCGTCTCAAGGACGTATTCTGGCCCTCCCCACCCATGGGATTGCGTTTTAATCAATTCCCATCATACAACCTCCTCATCCAAATGTCCCTCATGCACATTTTCATCATTGGAGAAACACATTATAAACAAGCAAAGGCAGTCAGAGCCATAATAAATACATTTCAATGCTTATCCAAATGTTAAACACAGACAATTCCCCACACCCTCCCCCAGTTGATTTACAATTCAGTGAATTTTACAAAGTTTCAGCATTCCTATAAACATTCCAGGTGTACTTGCCAACTTTTTAAGTAACAAGATGCTCATGCATAATAAAGGGCTCCTTTGGTTTTGACTGTGTGCTTGGAGCATCTTTTTATATAACTTGCTTCTGTTGATCGGCTCTAACCAGTTCATCCCTCCCTGAACTCTGTCTCGTTTGCAGTTTGATCAAATTCCCCTGTGGTAGCAGGGTAATCTCTGTCCTCTATTTGGAGTGTAAAGAGGAGTACACATGCTCTTATCAGAGGCCCCCATAAGCCAGGGCTTGAAATTTATCAGCTCGGAGATAAACGTTGCAACTGATTCAGTGTCGCTAGCAGCTAGAAGTTAGCTTGCAGTCACTTTGGATCCGTTGCCCTGTGATGTCACAGAGGAGGTCACATTTCTGCAATACCATTTGTAGGTACAGAAGTGTTCAATTTAATTTTACTTTCCTACTCCGGAACACATGGTCAGATTCACCAGGATGCTCTGCCTGCTCTGCATGGCTTCAGAGCTAGGAAGCAGCTGCACACCCAGTTCAACCAGCCGGCCAGACTGGGTATAAAGCTGCTCTGTGTGAGCCTATAAACCTAGCCCATAAAAATCATAGTTTAGGGACCTGATCCAAAACCCACTGAAGTCAACGGGAACTTCTCTTTCGACTTCAGTAGGGTTTGGATCAGCCTTACACCCAGCAAGAGTAAGCATGTTTCTGTGTGAAGAAGAAACATACCTGTTTAAAGAAAGAAGACAGGGACTGATTATTCCCATAAGCCAACAAAGGAAGTGCAAACAGTATAGGGCAGGGAAAACTGAGGTTAAATATCAATAAGCTCTGTGTGGGCAAAAGAGATTTGAAGAGCTTTGTGTAGGTCCAAACTTTGCATCTCTCACCAACAGAAGACAGTCCAATAAAAGAGAATACCTCACTCACCTTATCTCTCTAATATCCTGGGACCAACAGGGCTATAACAACACTACAAACAAATAAGCTCTCTGTGACATTTCGGGCAATAGAACAAGCTGTTAAGGGAGATTGTGGACTCAACTTCACTGGAGAAATTCAAAGCTAGGTTAAACATTTGTTGTTGAGCAACCGCATCTGATAATAACCAGAGCGGGAAAGAAATTATACCAGCCAAAATATGAAGTTTCCAAGCAGAATCCAATTGAGACAAGTTGGCAAGTGCACTAATTTACTACCATAAAATGATAATCAGACCCATTACAAAATACTTGCAAAATTCAGAAAAATCTCCAAACACACACACACACACAAATAACCCCAATTAAAACGAAAGAAAGTGGCCCACTGATGGAATGGGTGATGTGCAGTGAAGGGCCCCAGGTATCATTCTAGCTTATTTGGTGCATCTGTTAGACTTGTCATTAATGCTTGAATCAAATTACCGATTCAAGATCCCAAATCCAATGCAAATTTGGTTTAAAAGAAAAAAAAAAAAGTAAAAACAAGAGTCATTTAGAAGAAGATCCAGAATATCTGCTTTCAGCTCCAATTCTAGCTTTTGCAAACAGTGCTGGCGATTTCCTTCTTCAAAGCAGACCTATAGAAATCAGCACCAGACCCTTTGGTCCTCACTGTTGACTTTCCCAAAACTTAACCACATTATGTTTAATGATATCACATACAACTGAAGGAAACGGTTTGAACTGTAGCTTAAAAAAAATGAAAAAAAGATAGGATGTGGAAGAAGAGACAACAAGGAGGGGGGGGAAGGGGATGGGTTGGGAGGAAGAAAGATTTTTATCCTGGATCTGCTTCATAAATGGTGGGCTCTCTGGCTGATCAATGACCCGACAAAACTAACCAAGTAAAATGTCACAATCCATGTTATATGAGTTGAAGAGTTTCAAAATGCTAATAAGGAAACAACAATGCTAATGAGTTCACTGGTTAGAGGCATGCAGGTGTGTGGTGGTGCTCACTACACCTTCCTGAGTCAGGAGGGGGTACCTTCAAGGCTCCTAAAATTGCTCTGCTTCTAAAAGTAGACTTTTTTTTGACATAGAGAAGTCCACTGAAATCACAAACAGACAGAGTAAAGGCAAGTAAGACACAAAACATTGAGGGAGGCTCTAAGAGATACACACATCTAGAAAAACATGAGAAATTCCACAATACATGAATAGACTACAGAAGAGACAGAAACAGAAGATCAAATTTAGGAGACAGAACAGCCCATAAAGAGGTATTAAGTTAACTAAAGGTGCTGGGTCACCCTATTTTTGCAACTGTGAATTACCGAAGAAGCGACAATACCTAAGTTTAGGAGAATGCTAGTTGCACTGGAGCAAATGGATCGGTAAGGATAGGCAAAACCAGAGGTTGATTACGGTTGTTCTGAGACATGTGACATGGCTTTCACCCAGCTGTGTGGGGAAATAGATATACGGTTCTGGTTTTGATCCATCTCTACTGATTGATAATTGTTTTTGAAAATTTGTTTGTTCCAGTAATATAAACACAGCACAGAACCACCCAAAATTAACATGATCAAGGCATTTACACAGGTTCCTAACCAGAGATCAACTCGGAGTTCTTTTTCAAACTCAGAAAAAAATAATATTTTCAAGTAAAGTTGGTTGGAAAATGCCAAGAGGGGGAGGTTAAAATTTTTGTCTAAGAAAGTTCCCAATTTTTGGTCAAAAATAATAAAAAAACTACTCAC